AATAGTGGCCATGCAATATTTTTATGCATACTAATTGATAATTTTACAAAAAAGCCATTTATTGATGCATTACTTACATTTTCTTCTCTCTACCCGTTTATCGTCGACCTGCCTTAATTTTGTGACCGATAGTTGTCCAATTGCTTCTTTTCTTTCTGGTTCTCAAGCATTGTATGAAACCATGTTTGATAATTAATAGGTAAATGTGGATGGTGTAGGTTCATTAACCCAGTAGACAACCAGGCAAGAGTGCTCCACAGCCCATATAAACAAAGGTTCATTTCAAACACATTTCTGTTAATCCTCACAAGGCAGTCGGGGAATAATCTATCACCGATATCATATTTTCCAGATCACTGTGATCTCTGAAAAGAACACTCTATCGCCAGTAAAATCAAATCTGTTGCAACTGTAAATGGTCATTTATGTTCTATGTGTTAAATATGTAACTTTTAAACAAAAATATATTGTTTGAATGTACCCAGATCATAATTGAAAAGAGAAATCTAATCCATTAAATGACACCCTGCTGTAATGGCTTTGATGCCAGGAGTGCAGTCATGCCAGTTGACTAGGCAAACAGTTTTAGTACAGTTTGACAACTTACTTGGGCCAGGGGGGCACCTGTGCCACATCCGTTCTTCTCTTGCATGTGTCTAAAATAAAGCATGACTGATGCTTATGGTGTTCGGAGTGTTTATTTAATAGGGTACATTTTTAATTTTCAAGTATGTCCCAGGAAATAAAAATGATACTTTAAAAAAAAAAAATACTTTAAAACATGGGGAAGGCATGCAGGAAGACTATTTTGTGAAGGCCAGTAAAGCACCTTCTAAAAAGGAAACTATAGTCAAATAAATATAATTTATTTTTAACATTCCATCTGTGTTGGTATCTATATTTAGATGTATGCCTCCCTCACCCCTCCACTTCCCCCCCATGTTTGATTCATATACTGCCCCTCCCCCCCATACATTTATAATAAACAATATCTTGAATCCGTCAAAGAGATCTGCTGCCTACACCAAACTGCCTACTCTTGCATCTTAATAACTTCTTCTTTTCATCCAATCTAATGCTTCATAGAGAAGCATTATTGGAGCTTTGGCGCGTGTACCGCATTCAACGTGATGCACCAATGACTAGGGATCGACCGATATTGATTTAAAAAAAAAAAAAACATATTTGTGTTTATAGTTTTTTTGTAAGAAAGGGAAACAAAAAGAAAAAGGGAGAAGGAAAAGGGGGTTCCACATTGATATACATACAGTAGCAATATACATTACATGGTAGTTTGCGTTAACAACATCTATCACTTGGGACAGCGCACGTTGCAGGTCTTGCTTTTCCGCGTACAAAATTTAGTGCATATGTTCGTATCATTACACATCTTCAGATTTTGCTATATTACAATATATTGTATGTACGGGCTCGCCTCCTGGGGTTAATTCTGCCCAATAACTATGTCCTGGTATTATTAGTGCGGTGTAAGTGATAAGACTTATACCAATTAGTGGAGCGCTTTAGTACATATAGCTTACCAAATGGTTTCTCATTCAATAGTAGAATGTAAAGTACATGTTGAGAGAAAAATATAAAAGATACAATATAGTGCAGACGGTTTTAAAATAAAATTATAATGGTGGTGTCTTGATAAATGGAACACTCACATTTTTTGGAGCCTGTATATAGGAACACTGGCCCCGTATTTTGGCTTGTGTGCTTTTTTGGGGTAGCACCGCCCGTCTCCTTCGATGTGGGGTATTTCTCAAAGATAAAAATAGGAGAAGCAGACAGATGTGTAGATGGTGTTTATAAGAACACAGTATTATTAGAAATAAGTGGTGTGCTCACCTGGTCCTGAGCCTGTGGGTCCCTGCTCTAGGTATATAGGTATTGTGCCAATTTGAATGGGGATGGCACAACCCCTGGGAAGATATTCTTGAGGTTTCCAAAAAGAGGACTTAAAAGGATCTTAAATATAAAGTAATACATTTATTCAAGTATAAAACAAAAAATAAAAACAATAATTGTAAAAAAAGTCCTTTAATAAAAAGTCCTTTAAAATAGCCAATACGCGTTTCACTCCTTGCTGTGGAGCTTCCTCAGTCAGCTGTGGTGTTCTTTGATTGGTATTCATAAACTATGTCCTGGTGCCCGCGTATGTTTGACTCATGGCATATCTATCTCTTGTCCCTCATTGGTCAGCGTGTATGAAATTTGGGGAAACTCGGGGAAGGAAGTGAACACATCTTAACATAAACTTGTGCTTGAGCTTGATCTTGATCTGGGATCAGTAATGAATGCAAAGAGAACTTCATTGGGTACGCTCATCTCGGTTGGGACTCATGTTTTGTGGATGTATTTTTTATTATTATCCGAACTGGCCTGCTATGCAGTGCCCGCCCCTCTGTGTGAGCCAGTCCTGCCATACCACCTCATGTTGTTGTGCTTTCCCCTTCATACTCATAGCCATGTTTTCATATAGACAGACATTATCTAATTTCTTTGAGATCTCTTCCATTGAGGGGATCGCTTTGTCCTTCCAGTGAAATGCTATAGCCATTTTAGTGACTGTGAGAAGGTTTACTATCAGTGGGGTATGGTGCTTCTGGTGCAGCGTTGGCAACATATGTAGCAGGTATCCTTCAGGTGACAGCAGCAGGGTAATGTGGGTTAGTTTGTTTACCAGTGCTTAACCATAGTGGCTGAATGTCTTGGCATTCCCAGAAGATATGTATCAGTGTACCTTGGGATTTCTCGCACCTCCAGCATAGGGGAGACTGTATTATACACTTTGGCCAGTCTATGAGGCACCATGTACCATCTCATTGTGATTTTGCTATATGCCTCCCACATAGAGATGCCACTAGATGCCTTCTTGGTGATGGATATGGCCTTGTGCCATTGTTGTAACGTGAATTCCCTGCCGATATCTCTCTCCCATTGTGTCATGTAATAGAGTTTGTGTGGGGTAGCAGCTTCCCACAGGGCATTGTAACACAGTGCCAGGGGCTTGATGTGGCGGGCGTTCAACAGGTGTTGTGGGCTGTGAGCTATAAACCTCTGAGTGGTCTCTTTGGCTTGTGTATTGGCCTGTAAGATGTTCTTGACCCTTAGGTATAGGAATAGGTCTCGGGAGGGGAGGGAGAACTCTGCCTGTAAAGCTGGGAATGGTTTTACTACACTCTTGTCAAAAAGATTTTCTACCCTCAGGATACCTTTTGCCAGCCACTTATGGACTTCTAGATTCGGGGAGTGGATCTGTAGTGCTGTGATTGGAGACAGCCTTAACAGTTCCTTTGGGTCTAGTATATTCGAGGCCCAGTTTCTCCAGGCCTGTAGAAGTGTCATTGTGCATTGTAGGATTGTTTTTTTACTGAGGGTCGGGGCGCCTACCCACAGAGCTTGGGTTATTTGTGCCGGGGTGATGCAGGCGTCTTCAAAGGAGAGCCAGATTGGGGTTGGTGCTTTCTCGGAAGCGCTGAGTAGTCTTAGACCTTGAGCTAATAAGGAGGCCTGGTAGTAGAACCGAACATCGGGGAGGCCCAGACCTCCTCTAGTGAAGTGGAGGCCTAAAGTTTTGTTTTTAATTCGTGGGGGTTTCTGTTTCCAGACGTGCGCGTTTATAACAGATTGGAGCCTATTAAGGAGGCGGGCTGGCAAGGTTATGGGGATGGTTCTGAACAGGTAAAGTATGTGCCGGTAGAATCATCATCTTAATCGAGTTGATGCGCCTTACCAGGAAACCTCTAGGTCTTCCCATGCTGTTAATTGTGTTGTGAGTTTTTGAATCAGGGGAATATGGTTTTCTTTTTGCAGTGTATTTATTGATTTAGAAAGTTTAATCTCGAAGTATGAGAGCGACTTTTTCCTCCAGTCGAATGTATATGTGCACTCGAGTTGTGTCGTGAGGGTGTGCGGTAGTAGAATAGGGAGAGCTTATGTTTTTGCAGTGTTGTTTTTGTAGGGATACTTCGCTGTATGTGGCAAGGATCTTTTGCAGCTGTGGGATGGAGTGCTCTGGTTTTGTGAGGTACAGGAGAATGTCTTAGGCAAACAATGCCAGTTTCTGTTCGCCCCGCGGAGTAGATATGCCCTGAATTCCTTTTGTTTGTTTTATATGCCTTATCAGGGGTTCTAGGCAAAGGATAAAGATGAGCGGGGAAAGGGGGTGTAACGGAACCGCTGGCACCACGACCGGGTACCTTCCGCCGACGGATGCTCCTAGTGCTTTCCGAGGACTCCAAGCACTCTGCCTGACACCATAACCACTGCAGACCCCACGAACTGCCGCCACCACAGCTTGGTTGGGATCTCGCCGTCTCCACCCACTCTGGACCCAGGACCAGGGTCCAGCTTCCAGCAGGTCGACCTCTCTCCGAATTCCAGAGAGCAGGAACAGGAACAAGCTCTTAGCAGAGCTTAGTGATTATACCCTGGGGAGTATAGTGATTATAGCAATCCCCAGAGTGTAGTTTCTCCAATCCCCCAAACATGAGCCGAAACTTCATGAAGGTACAAGATGATCTGTTTATTGGCACACAAAGAACCATCTTTTATGCAGATCCCCATGCAAGGGGACATCCCACTGGGTGGGACACAGTACAACCAATCACACAATGGTTACATCCCACACATCTCCTCCCCTTAGCCTGAGAGGTAACCCAATTATCCATACATTTTAAAACACACTTTTTACCCAACTTTCATAACTCTAAAACTATACATCACATTCACATAAAACTACATATTCACAATCAATCCATTCAGGGGAACAACATATTAAAAAATGGCCTGAATCAGACCAGGGGTTCAGAAGTTAGCACAAGTATCTTTTGGGGCCTGGCTGGCAGCATGGCTATCTGGCCCAAACTGGTTTCAGAGTCTTCTATTCTGGAGATAATTGAGAAGTAATGCAATTATCTCCAAGGACAGAGGCAAAACTCCATTAGCCACATGGCAGACAAAGGACAACAAAAGACATAAAAATACATACTGTTACATTTATCACATAGAACCTACACATTTCCAATTTACCGAACACATAATAGCATATATAATATTGCAGACCGCCTGAATGCAATCTGCTACACAGTCTTAAAGGGACATTGTTCCTAAAAGTCATATGTCCAGGGATGGTTTTTAAAGGGCCAGCAGCAGCACCATACAAATCCAATATGCCCAAATATTGTACTTGAAGGGCCAAATAACCCAGGGCCATAGTCATGAGGCAAGAGGCTGGCAATCAGGCTCCTCCAACATCCAGGGGAAAATCCGGTGACAAAAGGCGTTTCGTCACAGGGGGCAACCCTGTCGTGTGCCGTTACGTATGGCTAATGGATAGGAAGCCTGTGCTGAAGATTTTAGCTGAAGGTTCTTGGTACAGGGCTAGGATGCTGGCTAAGAACTCTTGGGGAATGCCCATATGGGTGAGTGTTAATCGCATATATTTCCAATTTAGGCGATCAAACGCTTTCTCAGCGTCGAGCGCTAACATGACTCCCCCTTGATGTGTGGAGTGGGCCCATTCTATGAGGTTAATGAAGTGTCTGGTATTGTCGCCTACTTGCTTGCCCGGGACGAATCCTGCCTGTTCCTCGGAGATCAGAGTTGGTAATAGGGGTTTATGTCTGTTTGCTAGTAGTTTAGCATACAGCTTGATGTCTGCGTTGAGTAGGGAAATAGGCCTTAGGTTTGCGCAGATCGTTGGGGATTTGTTTGGTTTGGGTAGCGTGACTATAAATGCTTCCAGCATTTCTTTAGGGATTTACCCAGTTTGTTTAATGTGATTGAAGAGTTTGGTGATGTTCGGAAGTAGTGTGGTGCTTAGTTTGTGGTAGTAGTAGTTGGACAGCCCATCCGGGCCAGGCGATTTGTGTTTAGGTATACTGGCTATCGTGTTGGCCACTTGTTCGCAAGTGAATGGAGCTTCTAAAAGCTCCTGTTGTGCTCTTGTTATGGATGGGATGTGGGTAGTGTCCAGGAAGCGGGTGATTTCCTCTTCAGACGGTTGGTGTGTTTGGGGGTCCCTTTCAAGCTGGTATAGGGAGGCGTAGAAGGAGGCCAATTCCTCCACAATGTGGTGTGGGTTGTATAATTTGTCACCTGACTTGGAAATTATGTATGGTATTTTCGTGTGTAAGTATTGCTGCTTTAGTTTCTTAGCAAGTGCTTTTCCTGCCTTGTTCCCTGTAGTGTAGTGGGTCTATTTGAGATAGCGCATATGCTTCTCTGTTGTAGCAATTTCAAGATTGTGTAGATCAGTTCTGATTCGTTGTAACTGCTTGTGGGTCGCTTTATGTGGTGTGGTTTTGTGTTGGGACTCTAATGTGGCGAGCTTTGCGAGGAGTTCAGCTTTGGTTTTGTTGTGCTCTTTTTTCACATTGGCTCCCGCTTGTATCAAAACGCCTCGCATAACTGCCTTGTGTGCTAGCCATTTAGTTGTGATGGGCGTGATGCAGGATTCGTGTTGAGGAAGTCAGTTAGGTGGGTTAGGACGGTGGAGTAGGTGTTGGGGCGGTCCAGGAGAGTCTCATTGAGGCGCCAGGGTCCCATGCCACGGGCCGGGTACGGGACCGATCGCGACTGTCATGACGTGTGTTAGTGTGGTTTTGTTCGTGATACATAGATCTATTCTAGAGTGTATCATGTGCACCATGGAGTAATACGTGTAATCTTTGATTCCTGGATAAAGACAGCGCCATGAGTCGTATAGGTCTTGTTAAAATAGTAATCGGCTTAGGTGTCGCCCCAGTGTTAATGATGCCCTTTTTGGTCCTTTGTTCTGTGTGCGTTGAATGTCTAGGTGGGGATCTGGTGTGCAATTGAAGTCTCCACATAAATGACATGTTTTGGTAACCCATGGCAACGCTCGGACGGCCGCGGGTCTCGCGAGAGTTACACTGGGGAGCTGGAGGAGCTGCTGGGAGGTGAGTAAGCGCTTGCCCCCCCCTAGGACCGCCGGGCTTGTAATGAGCCTGGCGGTCCTAGGAGGCATTATCGGCAATATCGGTATCTGAATTGGCCGATACCGATATTGCCGAAAATACCGAATATCGGCCAATTATATCGGTAAAACTGATAATCGGTCGATCCCTACCAATGACATACTTCCCATAGAGAAGTATTAAATCTATATGAGAAGCATTGATTGAAGTTCAAAGTCCACATTTAATGTGTGAGGACGTGGATCGTCAAGAACAGAGTCAAACTCTGTTTTGGATGCAGAAGCACCATCTGGTGGGTTTGAGAGTAACAGACACTGGAGGTGTGTTTTGACCCATACAATCCAAACCTTTTTGAGCACCACTGATCTATGCAGTCAGGGGATATTAAATTCTCCCATATACAGTGGTACCTCGGTTTACAAACGCCTCGGTTAACATAATTTTCGGTTTACAAATGAAAATCCATTGAAAATAATGCCTCGGTTTACAAATTTATTTCACTATACAAAGCAAGTTTCCCCAGCATGCATTGCACCTGGGAGGCTTATAGCACCGCCCCCTGCATGCTGGAGCCTGTGGAGGTGTTGGAGCGGCTTTTGCATCGAGCTTTGGAGCCATTCTGGAAATTGTTTGCAGTTGTTTTGGAACTTTTTGGTGCCTTTTCTCAAGCTGTGGAAAGGTAGGGAGCTGAGCTTCGTTGTGTGCATGCCTTTTATTGTGTGTTCTGCATTGTGGGTTGGTTTCCATGCCAGCTCATTTTGACTTTTTTCTGACCTCCAGAATGGATTAATTGGTTTTCAATGCATTCCTATAGGGTGGTGCTAAAACCAGTCTATTATATGAAGTCCGAATACAGCTTGGAGAGAAAGTTGTACATATATGTAAAGGAAGGAATCACTTGTGCAAACTGGCACTCAATCTGAAAAAAAACTCCAGGCTCAACAAGGACTGAAATGTAACTGTAAATTTGCCCACTATTTCAAGTCCTACTCCGTTTGGGGCTCCCAGAGTGTATTTCCAAAACTGCATTGTTTGACATAGTGAGAGTAAAATGGCAGGGGCACTGATGTGAGATCACTTCATTAACATGAAGTGGTCTGGGTACCTTTAGTATCCCTTTAAGAAATCTGGACATGCTGTGCAAGGAAACCGTGAAACTGCTGCAAAGTCATTTCTCAATGAGCTTTTGCTTCAAATTTTCTCACTAGGATTTCTGTTTTTAAATCTCATTATCATATTGTTATTATTTATTTTTATACAAGACCCTATGTTTTCTACTGGTGTAGGTTGTGAACTTCGAACAGTTCAAATAATCAACATCCATAACACACAAGTATACATGTGCAATATTGGAAAAGTTACTGACTTATTTGGGAAGTGATGCTTTTGAAATATGGAAAAGAACGATTTTTTTGTGATTCCTCTGGAAATATATTTTGTACAAAGAATGGGTGCAGTACAGCCTCATTTTCAAAGTTCTGCATTTATTTGGTTTCAGTCACAAATGGGTGTAACATTCTGACCGAAAGTAAGGTCTTTAAAATACGTGTTTTAGAAACACTTTGTATTGGGTTCTTCTTCTTCTTCTTAATTTGAATATTATTTTAATTATTTATAGAAAGCCAACATATTCCACAGCAGTTTACAATATTGCAACATTATCTGTTTGTTGTGGGTTTTAAACAAGGGAACATCTATGATCTGAAGCTGCACTGCACATTCCATCCTGCATTTTATACCATGGCCATTCTGCATTAATAAAACTGTCAAATACATGTATAGATTATTTTAGAATTTCTGGAATTCCTACAGTAAATATATCACTTCCTTTTCAAAGAAGAAGAAGAAGGGAAAAAAATTGCTTAGTTTAATGGAGCGATGGCTGGGATCAAGCTAAAGGTTTCTGAATGGCTGTAGGCATTTTTTAATTAGTCAGGACACCTGTGTGTCCTAATTACAAATCTAGAAAATGAACTTCCCATGAGCGTAATACCAAGAGAGTGGGATTTTCAGAGACCCTGAGTGAAGGATTTGTTTAAAAAATGTTAATCATTAAGACATGTCAGATTACGAACATGTCACTTGCAGTTCTAGCTCTAGCTTTTGTTTCTCACTGTAGAATGCAGAAAAATGTGTCAAGCCGTTATTTTATTTTAAACAAGTTGTGCTTTGCTTGAATACTTTTGAAACTAGTAGAAGAGATTAGGCAGCATTTTACAAAAATAATTAGTCATAATTTGGCCATTGTGTAAATTATGAAAAGATAAATGCATACCCTAAAAATTTTATTTACTTTTTCTTCTCAGTGTGTTGTGTGTACGTGTGTGTGTGTATATTATACTTTTTCTTGGTGTTTTTTTTTTAATTCTGACCGTAATAATAACTACAACAAAGTGTTTAACCAGGAAAGGTACATGCAGATACTCTCTGGTTTCCAAGTACATTCTGGGGATGTTAACTTTTTTTTTCCAACATCCATGGGATGTTACTACTGTTCAATTGAATACAGTATATTTACCCAACATACATATACCCCACACGTTTTGTGGGGTGCTTAATTAGATAACTGGGACTGGCGTCAGGGTCATGGTTGTCCAAGGCTTGTTTATATCTATCCTTATAGAATGCTAAATCAGGACTCTCTCTCTGTATTCCTGACTGCTGGCAAGAGGAGCCGAGATTGCAGTCAGTTTGCAGCAAAACATCTCCCACCCCCCTTAGCCTTGTTCTGTCCCTTAGTGTTTTCAAGGTATAAAGTAAATATAGTAGACAGGAGGTGAAGCTATAATTGTTTAAAAAGTACGCTTTTATCTTTGAGGTTGTATTACACATATCTGGTACAACTGTAGGCTTTTAAGGATTTTTTAAATTTGTTTTTTATTTTGTTTGTTTTGTTTTTATAAATGTGTAAAGTTAAGTCATCAGCGTTGTAGTTACAATACTATTGATTATTTTAGTTTAAGGGCAATATCTTCCGTCAATCAATGAACAAGATATGTTATTAAATCCAATTTTATGTTTATTATGCACTGTGCTTCCATCAGCAGAGTTATTTTAAATCATCTTCCTCTAGTTTAAGTGTATATTGTGTTACATAAATATGAAAATCTCCAATACTTTGCTTCTGGCATTGATGAAGAAGGTGGAGGAAATATCTTTCAGTTGTGTTTTTTGTGACAGGTTTCAGAGCCTCCATCCCTTAAGGCACAGTTTTGGTCCCAGTTCTGAGTGACCCTTCCTAACCTCTGATGGTCAACAGGCCAACACT